ACTCTTATTCTTGGTTTTCAGTTGTCAGGGAGACGCTTCAAACAGGAAAACAACCACCAAGTCCCTTATTTCGACAAGCACACAACTGCGGTTCAGTTTTCTGGACTCTGGATTGTCTATGGTCATGTGGGGTCGACAGGACGAGGGATGAGCCCAAAGTTTTTTCGGGGAAGGACGTGGCGCCGATTTTCTTCGGTCCTTGGCATTGCGTGTGTCCGACTGTCCCAGCCGTAAATCGCCAAACTGCGCGTTGTGTGAGCCAAGCCCGGGTAGATGAAAATTAGTAAGGGCTGGTGCCACAAACAAGTGTGGCTGTCAGTTTCTGATTCTTTACATGATTTGGGGTAGACTATGTTATTGCCATTGTTTGCTGTTTTGAACGTCTCCAAGAGACAAAACGAGAAAGAGAGCTGCGATAGTCACATGTTGGCAACCAATGTCCCATTCTGGCTGGGCGTTTTTCACAGGGCCCCGCGCAGCCAACTACGAGGCGCTACGGGGTTGGGTACGCAAGAAAGAGACAGGAAGCAGAACATGGTAGGGGTGTGGATGCCGATGTCTTGTTTCGGGTGGTCGTGCAAAGCAGACGGATACACAAATGTGATGTTGTAAATCCATTTAGCTTAAGGACTCTCGTCGGTCGGCAAGTTGGCAAATGCTTCGGTGAGGTTTTGGTTTGCCACGAACCTCATCAAAGACCCGAGCACTCAGCAGCCGCTGATCGTCGGCGGTCCGAACATGGCCTGCATGGCGCGCGTGCGAAAGAAGATCGAAGAGAAGGGTCTGGCAAGCGCCCATCTTATCACCATAGGCGGCTCGCCGTTCTTGCAATGTGGGTAGATGTGAAAATCGAGGGCTTCTCGTCAAATTTGCCCCTTTAAAATGGGTACCCTCAACACACACACACACACCAACACATACACAACAAGCAACACACACACAAGCACAACACCACACACACACACACAAACACACACACACACACACACACACACTCAAACACACACACACAGACACAGACACAGACACAGGCACAGACACAGACACAGGCACACACTAGCAAACACAAACGCACAGACACAGAGACAGACACAGACACAGAGACAGACACAGACACAGACACAGGCACACACACACACGGACACTCACAAGCATACGCACACGAAAGCACACGCACACGCACAAGCAACACCCACCCACCCACCCACCCACCCACCCACCCACCCACCCACCCACCCACCCACCCACCCACCCACCCACCCACCCACCCACACACACACACACACACACACACACCCACACACCCACACACCCACACACCCACCCACCCACACCCACCCACACACCCACCCACACCCACCCCCAACCAACCCACCCACCTACCCACATCGCACACACGCACACACACACACACATATCTATATCTCTATATATATATATATACACGCCAACGTGCGTCACACACAGCAGACGCACCAACACGCACGCACGCACGCAGACACGCACGCAGGCACGCACGCACGCACGCACGCACACACAAACCCGCGCACACAAACCCGCGCACACAAACCCGCGCACACACACCCACACACACACAAACCCACCCACACAAACCCACGCACACAAACCCACGCACACAAACCCACGCACACAAACCCACGCACATAAGCAACCACGCACCCACCAACCCACGCACGCACGCACGCACTCACTTACGCACTCGCTCACTCCCCACCCACCCACCCACCCACCCACGCACCCACACACCCACGCACGCACGCACTGTTGAATCCGCTCGCTCGCTCGCTCAGTCACTCACTCACTGACTCACTCACTCACGCATGTGAGCGTGCGTGTGTTTTCTGCCGTTTTTTCACTTTAAGTAGGGGCACAGAGGGCAGGCGTTCGTATGAGTAGCACTTCCATCTTAGAGAGCACGACCGTTTCCAGATCCTGAGGTGTGCTAGCCGAGGATCTGTCAACTTTAGGGCGGGGGATTGTGTTAACGGTTGGATTGATATTCTAAGTTCAAATTTGCAAAGCCAGGTCTAGTCACTTGTATGTGTATCAAAACTTGTTTTTTCTCAGCAACCAGACCTTCCAATTTGGTTTTTCCTTGTTTGCCTACTTGTAGGTCTCGAATTTGGTCAACCCCTTGTTTAGTGGCGGCCCCTAGCTAGGGTGCATTAGATGAAATAACTGCGTGAGTTCGACAATCACTCTTACCAGACGATTTCGAGGAGCCCCTTGTAGAACAGGTTGAATTGTTGGACGTGCGGGGCTGCTCAAAAGCAATCCTGCTTGCCTTGGGTTACGAAAGCTCTCCTTTCAAGCAGTGGTTTTTCAATCGGCATTGCGGGACTGGCAAATTTCAGCTTCAACTGCCCAAATCGCATTGTTGGAATGACCCCAAATAGGCCATCCCACATGTTGTTTCATTTTAGGGGACCCTTACTGAGCACCATTTTTTGTTGTGTAGTGGGGGGTGGGGTGCTAACGTGGCTGGAGATGTGCATGGACCAAGCTTCCGCCATTGTTGCGCCCTGAGGCGGCTGGAACCAGCCGCATCCCAACACTTCGTTTTCTGGCGCAGAGCCTCGGCAAACCAAGGGGTATCCCAAAACACCCCGCCGAAGAGGGCAATTTTTGAAAAGGGCCATGGTTGAAAAGAGCAACTGGTTCGTAGCCCCGGTTTTCAGTGTATTGTGTCACCTCCTGACTCAAAACGGAGATATTTACCGCTGGTTGTCCGGTTGTTTCAAATTCTATCGTAAAGCGACGGGTATCGCTCCCAGGTGATCAATGGATTCCGGCCCCCCTATCTTCATTCTTCCAAGGGTCCGTTAAAATTAAGCAACACAAAATGGACGATGTCTTCCATGGCCACTCACTAACAAGGCTTACAAGAAAACTCGGTGAATCATCTCATGGCGCGTGCCTTTCTGAGCGCAGGTCGTGTTAGTGTTTTTCTTCACGCGTTGGGGCTAAACACGTGCCTCAGACATTCTGAGTTGCACCCTGGCCCGGGGCTCCGAAAGGGTCATGTGCTATCTCAGGACATGTTCCTGGGCTTTGCTGGAGGGAACTCAAGGGCCTGCGGGGAGCAAGTAAATCGTCCATGCTGATTCTTGGGGCTTGGGGAGGCCCAAGGCGAGAACTGCAAAAACAACCCTTGGAGGTTCCAAAGCGGTTCCGGGGACATGCTGCTTTTCCAGGCAGCCAAACGCAGCTATAATGTTTATTATTTGCCCCCCAAAAAAGAGAGGCGGCGGCCATGTGTTTTCCACCCCCTTCCGGTTTGGCACTCAGTGGTTGGTTGGGAGTCCGGAGGGTTGCCTCCAATCGTAGCGAGCACAGGGAACAACCAGGCCATCCAATTTTCATGTTGGCCAACGTCTGGTTTGTACGGCCAACATCTCAGGAGTCTCCCGCAAAACGCGTGTTTCTGGTCTTACGGGTATAGACTAAATTACGACTCTGAACTCTAACGGGGAGTCACCTTAAGAGTGGCTGGCGGACAGGACAATTCACCTAAATGATGTCCAGCCAAGGGTCCCCCCATTGAGCTTCACGGCCATATGAAACCGAATCAGAAGATATTACCTTTGAAGTAGGGTTTCAGGGTTGACTGAGGTTTTCCAACACTTTCAGGGCTGAATTTCTAAACCAAGCAGTTCATCGAAAGAGGCCAGCGGCAGGACACGCCCATTTGGGTGTGTCTTGTTCTTAGGGTACTGCTTCATGGTTTCAAAAAAAAAAAAAAAAAAAAAACAATAGGACAACCACCGGTTTTTTCCCCCAACAGCTGAAAGCTTTGGGGTCTCAGCCTACATATCTTCCCGGGCAGCCCTGAGGTAAGGTTGCACGAGGGTTCCACCAGGGTTCCACAAGAATTCCACGAAGGTTCCACGAGGTTCTGCGAGGCTGGGCAAGCACAAGCACACGGCCGGTATGTTCTTTGGGGTCCCGGTGCCAAGCGTGCTGAGGAGTGGTTTCAGGCCTGGCATCACTGGAACTCGGCGCTGCCGAAGCCCTTCGATGGCTTCGACTGGGACCTGGAGGGCAACGACAACCTGGTCTCCAGGACTGCGAAATCACACCACAAGTGCTGTTTTTTTAACCATTTTTGGTTGGGAGGGCTCCCTTGTAGATAGCAGAAAGAAGGGTACCCTTATTCTAGCCTTTTATTGGAGGACCTAGACAAGTGATGGAGTCTGTGAGGGGTGGTGGTTCAATGGGAGGGAAGTTCCCTACTCCCCAAGGCTCTCAGCTGCCCACCCTCCTTGTACCTACCCTCCCGTTAAGGATTCCTGAAACAATCAGAACTCGGTTAATTGGAGGGTTGTAAGGAGCAATCCCAACCATACATAGGTGCGGCCGCCACGTGGTTCTGGGCAGATCATTGTGATACCGGTTTTGATTGTCACTCACAGGGGCTTGGACCTTCGGCAGTTGGTGTTTTGCCTTTGGCCCCCCTTGGAAAACCCACCCCTCAAAATGGGTGCCCTCAAAAGAAGACACACCCACATACATCCCGAAAGGAGACACCGCCAAATGGGGTGGTTTTGGTTGGTTCCATGTTCATTTGCAGGCCTGGAACAAATGGAAGGGCCCTCCAAAGATGAGGCCTGGGGTCTCCCCCAGAACTGTTTCACGGTTGTGGGTAGGCTATGGAACAGCGTCAGACGAATTTATGCGCCAAGAAACGGGTAATTTGCAAGAACAATTGGGTAACGCTTTGTGTTGTTTTGTCATGGATCCGTGCGGGTTGCAATGATTCCGATTCCTTCAGCTGTTCTGATTTCAGCTTGACCCACACGCCCAGACCACCCCTGAATTCAGACTGTCCAGACAACCCCAACATGTGTTGAGGTGTCAAAGCCCTTTGACCCTCCCGCTTTGATAAATACGGCCAGGCCCCCTTCCCTAGCAGCCCTTCCTTGCTTAAGCATGTAGCCCCCGGAAGGCCGTGGAATCGCCTGGGGGAGTGGTTAGCAGGTGGTAGTGACCCAAGTTACAAAGAGTCTTCATCTTTGCCGAACGTCCAATCACAAGCTTGTTCGACCAACCTCAAACTTGAAGAACTCTGTATGTCCCCGCCCCCGAGAGGACGTGCATGGAAGGATTGAAGGGGGGGTCAAGGGACCCTGCCTGCACATGCTCCCTAACATGTTGGGGGCCCCCAACAAAAAGCACAAACAAACAGACAGGCCGACAAACAAACAGGCAGACAGAAAAACAAACAAAAAAGCAAACAAAACAATACAAACAAACATTCAATCAGACACACATTCTGCTTGGTCAGGTGGAACAAGTTCTCGCCGGCGGTCATGCAGGTGGTGGTGGACATGTCTGCGGCCGCGAAAGCGGCGGGGTATTTGGTGACCATGGCGCCTCCCACCACCTACTTCCGGAAGCTCAGAAACCACAGATGGCTGTGGGTCAAGAAGGTGCCCAAAATGGCTTGCCCTGGCAAATGGAAACATGGACAGAAATCCGCCCTGGTGGTTCAATTTTGACCCATACGCAGTTTTCCCGGCCATCCGGTTGCTTAGTGTTTGGGCTTTTATTTGATCTAGTGGTTGTTCCGTATTTAACCCACCAAAAGTTAAACTTTCTGCAGCGGATTTGAGAACAGCCCAGAAAATGAGCTTTGTAGGTTTGGGCGGGTTTTGGGCACTCTGGTCACCTTGGTTTAAATGGAAGCCAACGAGAAAACCGCGATTGTTGTTAGGGTCCTCAGATTTTGACGCACACCCACATGGACCAAACGCTATTTTGTGAGGCTAAAGGGTGCCATGTTGGGGCTGGTCCAGCGAGAGCCCTCACCCTGAGCGATTGGTGCCTATATCAAGGGACAACTCCTGATGGAGGGTCAGTCGCCCGGGCCTTGCGGGCACTTCCCATGTCAATCAACCGGATCCCCCCCATTTTTTGACCAGGTTGTCCAACCCCATGGAAATGGTGCTGTTCGATTTCCCAGCCTTGGGCCAAATGTTGCAGGTTCCAAGATCGCAACTTTCCCGGTCCTTTGGCTGCAAGGAAGCGGCGGGAGTTCAACCTGTACTTGAACAACACCGCGCCTCAGAGAGAAGGGTCCGCCGGAGGGCTTTATTGTGTCAGTTTTGTCGCAGTCGCGTGGCTTTTCTCCATCGGCATCCCTGGGTGCGTTCTTACGGGGCACTCCCCAAACAACCCAAAACCGCTTGAATTTAGCCCGAGCTTTGGGTCGGCTGCATTGGTCTCGGGCATTTCGTTCGAGGACCCGGACTACCACCCGGAGTTTTTCTACCGAGGCATGAACAGCTACGCGTACATGTGGGCGGCAGCTCCCGCTGACACCTTCGACCTGGTCTCCGTACAGCAGCCGAACTGCATGAGCAAGCAGCTTTTTGGTCGCGGGGGTGTGACTTGTTATTTTTGGCTGATTGTTGAGCGGGTTCCAGGCCGCTTTTCCTGTTTAAGCGGCCAAAACTCTCCCAGCCCGGGGCCGCTGTCTTTGAACATCTCGGCTGAAAAGAGCTGTCGCCAAGCCCTTGGTGGACTGATGCCCTCGAGCAAACATGAACTATTTTTGGCCCGCTCCAGGCTATGCATGGAGACTAGGACACCTTTGAAAGACTGGTTTCTATTTGCAATGAGTGGCCTTTTGGGGCATAATGTCAGCCTGAGGGTATATCGCAAGAGCTGGTGCAGGAGCAATCCAGACCAAGTAGTTCCTGTAGCTCAGTGGCTTGGGTCTAGTCCCGTCTCAGGCTCTATGAGAACTACAGCCCTGCGCTCCAGGCTTTGCAGAGTGGGATGTCCTGCAGCCAGCGCCCCCGCCCAGCTCAAGGGTGGTTTGGATCGGTTTGGGGATTTCAGCCCCTGGCTGTTGTAGAGGGTAGATGGAAAACGCTCCTGAACCACCAAACCACCTTTCTAAACCACCAAATAAGGAAGCTGAATACCAGGTGGTTGGTGGGGGTTCTTGGGTAGTGAGAGGCGCTTAGCTGGTGTCTAAGGGTCCATGGGTCTCGACCGCCAGTGTCTCTGGGCTGCCTGGAACCTAGATGTTCAGAGGTGCCCTTTCTCCCTTCTTGTTTGGGTTCCTGACTAGAATCTGGAAAGCATGTCGCATGTTTTTTTTTGTGGATGTTACTTGTTCTTCCCCCTGTTGGTTCTGTAGTAATCTTCTCCCTTACTACCCTACAAGGGGTGGATCCACCAAAAGTCACATCCCAACCGTTTTCTAGAGGGGCTGGCTTTGTCTACCATGGTCACTGCCCATTTGGGTGGCCCTTTTCGCCCTTTACTTTTGCTGAGGGACAGGAAGGCACGTGGTTGCGTTACCACAACCAGAGGAGCTTTCGTCTTGCCTTTTCAGCTTTCGCTTGATGGGCTTTCCCTAGACGTGAAGCCTCAACCCCATATTACACCAAGCCCAAACCCCGCAGCTTTCTGGATGTCTTTCGCAGGTACTTGGCCTCGTTCGCCAAGGACTTCGTGGATGGTTGGGTGGTGAACTTTAATGACACCTCGCTGCCCTTGCAGGGTGAGATCACCATCAAGGCAGCCTCCAAGGTTATACAAACATATAGATACATATGCATACACATACATATATATATATACATATGTATTTGTGTGTGTGTTTATCTATATGTTTTTTGTATTTGTGTATCTCATGTGTACGTTGACATGTGTATATACACATATACATATCTATCATACACATTGGGGTAGGCTAGAAATGAATAATCAGTTGACCACACATTGTATTTTTAGCGTATGGGGTTGGGCAAAGGCCGGCTTAGGGGTTTGTTCTAGCCCAAACAGGGGCTTCCCCTTTTCAGGGCAGGCCCAGGGGGCCCCGGGGCTGATGGTTGTGGGAAATATGTGGTTGAGGCCTTTTCCCGTGAGAAGGGCATCAATAGAACACGATGAAGTCGTGAATCCCACTTTGGCATTACAGACATGGGGTCGTTTTCCACCATGTATTTGGATGGCAGCATCCTGGCTCAATGGGCCCCGGCACCTCTACCCATGGCTTGGAGAAAGCCACAGGAGCCATAACAAGCTTAAAGTGACTAGTGCCCAGTGACTACTTGCCATCTCTTTCATGGCTTTGCTTTGTGGCATCTTGTGGCTAAATGGACATGTAGGACAATCATTTGCCTTTGCTCAAGCGGAAGCCACCCCCAGATAACCTCCAAACCATTCCAAGCCACCAATTACAACGCTGATTTTCGCCCAACTTCAGAATTTGCCCTGCAAATCAACCTGGAATCCTCTCTTACAACTTAGCTACAGTGGTCCCCCCCCTTTTCGAGGAAACTGCGGGGTGTTTCGCTCGCTCTAAAACCAGTGCTCCCGGTTTTTCGCTCTCAGCCGCAGAGGTGCCGGCCTCAAGGCTGCTGATCGGCCTGAGCTTCGGCAACCCCAAGTCTGCGTACTTCCCTCCAGAGGTCGCCGACTTCGAGTGCGGATCGGTGTCCTTTTGATCGATTAGCGCCAGGATAGAAATAGATGGGTTCCACAGGTTTAGATGGGGTTCATTCCATTTGCCAGGGCCATCTATTTTCCAGTTTAGGCCATAGATTAGCGCCAGGCTAGAAATAGATGGGTTCCACTGGTTTAGATACGCCCCATTTACCGGGAAACAATTTTCCAGTTTAGGCCACCTATAGTCGATCGCCGATCGATCGACTTCGATCAAAATGGCTCCCAGCGATGGTCCGATGGTGGCCATAGCAAAAAATAACCCTCCAATTGGTTTTGAGCATGACCCCAATTGGGGTATGCTCAAAAGGCATGGAGGGTGCTTGGAACCATGTCTCAGGCCCTGAATTGGTGGTTTGGATTGGCAATTGGGGATTTGAACTGTTGGTTCTGAGGGTAAATGGGAAGCCACCCAGCCTCCAAACCAGGCAATCCAAACCACCAATTAGAGGGAAGCTGCATGTAATGTCGGCTCAGCTGCCTGGATTCGACGTGCACCGTGAGCGGGGGGCGGGGGGGGGGGCAGAACACGTTGCACGCGCTGCTTGTCCTTTGCCTTTTGTTTTGCAAAGCGGCTGAGATTGCAATTTGTTCTGGTTTCCTTGGCAGGGGCCCTGTGGTTGGCATAATCCACCAAGCGTCTGGGTGATAAAGCCCCAACGAAATCACTGCTGTGCGTGGTTTGAGCTTGTTGCGTGGGCTGGGATTTGAGCCGGAGGGTTTGTATGTGTTGCACAGGCCACGGCTCCCCAAACCTAGAAGGATGGAGGGTCAGGGGTTGGGCAAAATGAACACTTGGGCAGCGTTTTTTCTTGGAATCAAGGATTTATACAAAAAGGGAACTGCATCATGTCCGCGTAGGCAAGTTAGCTGGGGGGCGCGCGCGGAGGCATCGCGTAGGCATTTCGCGCCCATCCTTGTATTTTTTCTTGCGTAGGCGCGCGCGTAGGCACTTGATGGAGTTGTTATGTATTGTCTTTATGATTTACAATGCATATGGATGGGCATGGGTTTGTTCTGCAGTCTTCGCGTAGGCTCCGCGTAGGCTCCGCGTAGACCCCGCGTAGGCATTCGCGTAGGCTTTCAAGGCATTTTGGGTGCGTAGACCTTTTCTAGCAGCCAGATCCTTGGACAGATGTTGGATTCTCACTTGTACTGCATTTCTGATCTTAGAGCCGGAGCTGCCAAAACTGCACTTGCACTGAAAAGTTGCGATTTTCCAGCTGAAGCTGCCACAGTGCACTTCGACACTTGAACTCAACGTTTGCCCGCGTAGGTGGGCACCTGGAAGCTGACTTGTGATCGCGTAGGCACCCCTCGCAGGCCGCGTAGGCGTAGGCCTTCGCGTAGGCACGCAAGTAGTGTATAGGCCCCAAACCACCAAAAAAACACTGCTCAAATGCGGGGATCCCTGGGAAATCAATCATGTTATCACGCTTTGGCGGTGCAATCATCTTCCACATCATCTGCTTCTTCTACATCATCTGCATCTGTGTCAGACAACGATTGACTTGGTATTGCAAAGCTCGAGCTGGAAAAAAACGGCGGGCGATTTTCTTGCGTAGGCGTCCGCGTAGGCGCGACAAGAGACAAACGTGTGCGCGTAGGCACCCCTTGCAGTCGCGGAGGCGTTGCGTAGGCGCTCGCGTAGGCATGTGTGCAGTGTATAGGCCCGAGCACCAACAAAAAACACTACCCACTTGGCGTTTTCAAGGGAGCCAGGGGCCAGGCCGGCTGCAGCGGAAGCCAACCAGACGGCAAAACCGGCTTCTGAAAAGGGGAGTGAGGCTAACAACCCCGGGTTGTTTGAACCACATGGATGTGTGTGTGTGTCTTTTTTTCAGGCGACCCTTTGTTTGTGCGTTTAAAGGGAAACCAAAAGCAAAACCACAAATTTGGTTGGCCCCCTAAAAATGAACAATAGCCACCCCTATAAACGGGAGGTTGTTTAAGCAGTTTGGCGGTTCAATCCACAGAATGCTGCGGAGGCGGCGGGAGAAGCCTACGAGGCCGCAACATCTCAGGAACGTCCTCGGGGCTATGCTTTCTGGATGCGACGGGGCTTAAGGTTCGGTCTGGATCAGTTGGGTGGGACTACCTGAGCTCTCAAACTGCGCATGAAGAAAGGGAATTCACCTCTTATGTTTGGGGCCTCAACCCATGTTTAAGGGAGTTCTGGGGGTCCAGGTAGTCGAATTCTCAGTTGCCTACTCGACCTTTTGACCTTTTGGTGTCCCTCTTTTGGCTCATTATTTAGTCATGAACCCAACATGTGATTGCCTTTTATTTTTGGTCCCTCGAGTATTTGAGTATTGGTAGTTGGTTGGATTTGCAGTTTTTGTTTTTTGGTTGAAACTGTGGACTTTCCATTTTTGTAGAGGGGTCAACAACAGTTATGCCATGTTCTTTGGGGGCAACCACATATTTCAACCGTGGCTCATGGGGAATGAGTCACTGGCAATGGTGGTGGCATGTTTTTTTTGCTGTTTTCCCACCCCCCCCTCCACCCCAAATCGGCACCGGCTGAAGCAAGCTATTCAGAGATGGAGTGACAGCTTGCTAGCGCATTGAGAGACCTGGAAAGCACGGCGAGACCTTTTTTGCACTGGGGCTACTCCGAGGAAGGGGGCAGGATGACGGATCGATCCTGTTTTGGCTTCTGGCCTGGACCTTCATTCGTTTACATAAATTTGTGTCCTTTGGGTGTTTCGTAGCAGAAATTTGCTACTCGGGCGCTTTTCGGGGGAACGGGTGCAAATTTGGATTCGAGCATTTATGCAAAGGAAGGTCCAGGGGCTTTTGGCTTTGGCCCCCCATGCTGTGAAACAAGTTTCGCCGCACTAAGGATCGCCATGGAGGGCATGCATGCCAATGGCACCAACGTGTCTGTGAGCTTCGCTTCTGGCTTGAACTCCTTTTTGCACATCAGACCTTCGCCTTCGCGTGAGTTAGGTGGGTTCTTCCAACTAGATGACGGGCCTTGGGTGGTCTAGCAGGTTTCACCAATCCTTTTCAAACTATTTTGGGACGGCACGTTTCAAAGGGCCTTTGGCATTGCCCGTAGCTCTTGGAGCTAAAACGGCTCCGACCGAGACAGGAGCCCAGGCACCAGAGCGGAATCAAACTGGATGAGGCTAAACCCCGGAATTCCCCCCGCCCGGGAAAAAAAAAAGCATGCGACTTGGACGTCCCAGCCAGTTTTGAATCAAAGTCGGGCTGAGCTGCGAGAGACCTTCATGGAGATTTTTGGCGCCGTAGGGAACGGATTGTTCGGAGTTTCATTTGCGGCACGGGAGGCGCGGTCAGTACGTCAAGCCCACGCCGGAGGAACATGGGGGCTCGCCGAGTTCCGTATAGAAATCTGAGGAACAACCGAACTTGCCCATATGGTCTTGCGGAGCTGGTATCATCACTAATTAGAATCTCCTCCCGGTTGTATTCTTTGATTCTTCCTGTCGCAGTTCTAGTTTCCCATTGCGGTTTCATTCTCCCTCTGCGCGCGCCATTTACGCCAACATTGCGGAAACCGATTTTGCTGGGTGTGTTGGAGAACCAGATAAGAAGGACTGGAGGAACTCCTTTTCCCCATCCCCAGAAAAGGTTCAGGAATTTCTGCAGCCACTTGGCTCAGTTTCATGGCCCAGAGTTCTGGCTGCCTGTCACTTCACGCAGCCACTGGGAATGAAGAGACGACTTTTCGCGCCCTTGCTGGCGTTGACTGCCGCACGAACAGCTGCTCGGCTCAGTCCCGAGATCCGGAGGTTTGTTTCCAGCTTAGCCTCGCTAGGGTTTGCGAGCAAACCCGTGCGACCGTCAGGGATCAGAAAGTGCCTTGGCAGTGAGAACCCGCAATTGAGAAGCGTTGAGCCTTGTCATAACATGCTTCTTCGATATAGGTTTGTCTTGTTTTGAGGGAACCTTTTTCTTTGTGTTCTTGCAGGGAGCCAAGAGGAAATCCATCATAGGCATGATCCACACCTTGAGATTCCAGGAGCCCCGGGGCTACACCGCGCGGAGGCTGCGGACCCTGCCGCACGAGGGCGAGCCTTTCACGCAGGGCCTGGAGGTGGTGGATGAGGACACGCTGATTGAGACCAGTGGCGCCTACCCGGCCGGCACTCAATCTCTCATCCGTGGCCCGGATCTTCACGATGGCCTTGAAGACATGGAAGGGTAACTAGGTCCCTTTTTGCGGGAGGGCTCCCCTACTGAAATCGAAATAGACTACGGAAAAAAAGGGTACCCTTATTCTAAGCTCTCTACTGGAGGACCTAGCGGGTCAGGAAGGTGTTGGGTGGACTTTAAATAGGTAGGCTTATTGGTTTGGGCGGAGGCCAGTGGGTCCCTTGTTGGTGGCTTCCTCGTGTTTAACATGAAGCAGCTCCAACAAGGGTTCCCTTTTCGCACATTTAGAGACTTTTTGTGGCCGCATGAGTGTCTCATCTGAGGCCTGGTGGACGTCCACACAGGCAAAACGAAGCAGAGCAGCACTCTAGAGGGCTTTGCTGAGGGTGTTGCGAAGGTTCCGGACGGCTGGCTGGTGATCCCGTACACCAACCACAAGGCCACTTGCTGTTCGCATCGGTGATGTTCGGGGTGTTTTTTTTGGGGGCGAACCCCGTTTTGGTTGGCTTCCAGAGAGGGAAACCAAAAAGGATCACCCAGCATGTCAGGTGTCCCCTATCTAAGAACATCCTCGTCTTGCTGAGCGGTGCAAGCCTCAAACTGACAGCAGCTACCCCAGAAGCGCAGCAGAACAAATCAATTTTAGCCCCCCGAGACAGGTTCGGATTGCATTCAAAGCTGTGTGGTTGTCGTTTCCTGGGGGCTTAGATGTCGGCGGTGACAGGACAAGCTTCACAGATTCTTGGGTGGGATCTTTTCTTTTTTTTTGCAGGGATACATCTAGGATGAGAAAATATTTGTGGGTTTTTCAGGTTTGATTTTTTGACTCATATCCCGACAAACGCTTTTTCCGGGGCATGATTCCCGGATGGGTTTTGTCGAGTCGACGAGTCGAGGCGCTGAAGTTCGGGACCAACTTGGAGCTCGTGGCAGAGCAAGACTTCCCCTTGACCCAGGGCTGGGGCTTCGCGCGGGACGAGAAAAGGGACAGGTACCTGGCCACTGAACTGACAATGGCCGGGGCCAGGTTCAAAACACTATGTTTTCTTGACTGCTACTGGGTTGGATCTTTAGACTTCAACTTTTTGGTTGAAATCCAGTTGGGGTTTCCACTGAACCTCCAAAAAGTGAAAAACTTTTTGCAGGGGGGTCAACAGCAACCAAGGTTTGAGGCTCGGATCACGCGGCTGGTTAAACCAGAAATTAGAGGGGAACCACACATTTACCCCTCTTCAGTCACAAATAGTAGCTGGACAGATGCGGGAGGAGATCTTGGAGATACCCTTGTGATGGTCAGCGTGGCACTTTCCAACCTAGCCTTCCTTTTGGTGTCCCACGTGGTGTTTTACAAGCCTTGCCCCTTTTGGCTTCCCCTTTGGAAACTCTGAAGTGCTAAAGCCAGCGTTCCGAAAAGAAACAAATGCCATAAAGTGGTTCTGTTTTTTCCCGACGCGGGGCCCCATAGGCGACCAATGGCACGCAGTACGTCATGGAGCTGAATTCTCAGCTGAGACTAGAAAGCGTGGCTCCAGCGACCTGCCGCTTGCTCGGTTTCGGTGCGGGTGTATCCCTGAGCAAAACTGCATCAATTCGCAGAGAGAAATGGCCACGGAATGGTAAGCAAGAACATACATCCCAGTCGTTTACGATACATAAGCCTGTCGCTTATTTCAGGTTAATCTGGAGGACCGTGCCAGTCAGTGGGTGAGTCTCTTTTGGGGGTTAGTTTGGGATCACTTTTTACTTCCATTTGGTTAATATTTGTTTCTTTTAATTTCCCCTGTTGGCTTTAAAGGGAATCTATCACTACTAGAATTATGTTTTTCCAGGGGACTTAAGCAAATGGAAGTTTACGTTTGCTCCTCACGAAAGAAACTCAAACAACGAAACGCATTTGGGCAAAAAGCCTGCGACCCTAAAGACCCCGATCCCTTCAACGCTTAAGGGATTCATCGGCCTGAAGAAACCGACACGTGATGAATCAACATAGGCGGACCACCCCAAAAAAAGAAAAACACATGCAAGGGGGTTCCCTTTGGTGTTCCAAGCTCAGAATCGACATGATATATTATGGCCAAAACATTCAGGAATATAGCCTGCATTTTGTGTTATCATCATTTCAGCTAAACATACATGTGTTAAGTTGATTGAGTTGCATATATGTGGTGATATTGTACCCCTAAATAATACTCCCGCTAAGAACCAACCTGAAGAGGGTACCCTCAAGAATCTGGATAGGGAATATGGAGGACCCGGTCCTTCCGCACCCGGTGGGGCAGTGTCCTATTGGGGGTTGTTTCTCTCTCCCAACTGGTCGGCGTGGATTTTGTCCATCCACATGTTCACCAAAGTTTGGTAATAGAAGACCAAAAGGAGGTTGTTCAACCAGTTTGGCATTATTTTTGTCAAACCATAGTTTCACCCACTTCTTTCACCCGGTCACCCCTCACCATACTCAAAATGATCAGCCGCATCCCGCTCGCGCGACCCGGATGCGTCCGAAGGAGGCAGCCCATTGCCCCAAGTGGCCCGACCCAGCGCCAGGGATGCGATCCCCCTGGAAGCTCCCGAACGGACCCCTGGGAGTTTCCGGCGGTTCGTCTGAGGGAGTGTATCTGTACAAAAACGTGTGCAGTCATGTACCATGTCGGGTATGTGGTATTGGTTGTTGCTTACTGCACTGGGCGCAAAGAAGCCCCATAGGTTTAAATGGGTCTGTCCTGTTTTTTTTAGGGGACCCCCCAAAAAAAAAAGAAGAAGACATGGCTGTAATGGCTGTATTGTGGTCCGCTGCACACTTACCGGTTCTCAGGGAATGAGGAAAGACCCTGAAATGAACCATGAGACCCCTTACAGTGTCCATTCTCCAGTTTTCTTTTTCACGCCCAATTCAATTGGCCCCGTGGAAGATCAGTTTTGAGTCGGGACCTCCCAGCTGAATTACCCAGTGGATGGGAGGGTATGTTGATGCGTCCAGCGCTCTCAAAGGCCTGGGCCAGACAGTGCCCGGCCTCAACGAGTTGGAGCTGGTGGAGGACTTTGCAGACCAGGGCCCCATGCTCTTTGGGAATCTCTACAGGACGGACATCTTGACCGGAAACAAACCTCACCTGGGCCAGAGCTCTCTCTGTGTCCCCCCATGCTTGTTATTATTTGTTCCGGCCGAAGCAAGTGTGGTATCATCAGCTCCCGTCAAATCCACACTGCTCAGACCTGGGCAGAATGAGTGAAGCGTGCCTCAAGCTCTGGCGACCTGGGCTGAAACGACCATGGTGTAGGTGTTTATAGGGATCCTTTGCTTCAGGTCTTGGAGTTTGCAAAATGTGCAGACGTGTTGCGCATGGCGTGCCAGAAGGTGTGCCGTATCTCTCCCTTCCTTGAGGCCTCATTTGTGTCATGCATTTGGAGGGTTGCTCCGAGACTTAGGACATGTTCGCGTGTTTCCGGTTGTTGCCCATTCACCAACCAAGATTCTATCCTTGTATCAGGATAATTACCTGGAAGAAGCTAGTAGAAGATGATCCAAGCGTGCGTGGATTCTGCACGCCCGGAGGACTCGGTGGGTGATTGGACTAGACCCTGAGACCTACCAGTGTAAGTGCTTCTTCAACTTAGACGGCTTCGGAGACCAGCCCGCCAACGAGCGCAACGGCTTTCACGTGGCCAACGGCATCGCCTATCTGAAGAAGAGCCGAACGCTTCCTTTTCCAGACTTAGCTCAGCTTTTGGTCCTGATGGGACCTTGTGGATGTCATGTTCCCTTTCAACCAGCAACAAGTCCTTTAAATGTATGTGTTAGAAATAGGTGGACCCCAAACACGTGCACGTGTGGTTTGCCTCTAGCTTTCCAAAAAAGCACGAACCCAAGCTTTTGATCTCCCTTTGAAAGCAACCAAGAGAGTGGGGGGTTCTCCCAGAAAAAGACGGCCAAACGCTGTGGGCCCCCTTTTGGCCTTTTGGTTGGCTTCCTTTGCACTTTGAGAACCACGCGTTTGGCCAAGGTTCATTGTTACTGGTAAGAACTGGCGCGAGATGTTCGAAATCTCGCTGGAGGAGCAGCGACTTTGTCCAGAGCAGCGTTGCTTCATGTGCGCCTGTCATTGCACAACGCGCACTCGCGCACAGTGGCGCACGCACGCTGCTTTTCTAGGGGTTGATTCCCCATTCTGTTTGGTTCTTTTCGTTCCAAAAGCCAGCGGTGTCCAATGATTTCTGTAGGCCTTCTTCTAGGAAGCATCCCTGAGGAAGCTGCGCACAGACTGAGGACATAGTGTGTGCCACAAATGTTGCAATCACGACTGTCGGGAGGTTTCGGGGCCTCCCGAAAGTCGGAAAAAGAAGCACCACACCTGCGCGAGCCAGGCCCCCGCCTCCCGCCCCCCATGGCCTGACCCGAGCGGCCCAGGCCAGATAGCTCCGCTTCACAAATGGCGCTGGCCCAATCGCTGCAGCAGCTGCTGTCGGAGTCGCTCCTGCAGCTTCCGACGCCGCGGCGAATGCGCAGGGCGACCGTTCAGTCGCCCCAGGCAGGAGTGCGGAAAATTGGATCGCATGTCAGCCGGGAAAAACACATTGACCGGCTGATGGGGAGGAGCAGCAACCACCTCCAAGCCAATCCTTTGGTGGCAAGTGTCCATGTGCGAATCCCTGGTAAATCAGGTGAGTTTGGATCCTTCCCGGGAACCCTGTGAGGCTCTCCAGGTAGGCTCGTGAGGCTGCCCATTCCCTATTCGCGCGCCTCAGTGGGTGGAGCTTTCCAGGCAGCAGAACTGAACTGATGCTGAAACCGCGTAAAAGGCGCGTGGGCCACGTTGCTTGCGGAATGCGGGCATCCAACCGTTTAGACGGGATGCGCCCAAAGGGCGGCGCTGTTTCGGATTCGCTGGCCTTGAGCATGAAGCACTTTTCGGTTCCGAAGGTTACAAATTGGGGTCCCCTCGACTCACAATTTGCCTGGGGGTGCAGAACCATTTAAGCCATTTGGGGCAGACCCCAAACCTTTAATGGCTTCTAGACTCACAATTCATCGATGGCATTTTGGAGGGCGCCTTTGAGCCCAAAAGTCGCTTCAAATTGACATGGAACCCCAAAACTCCTCCATAAAAGGTTCCTCAATGCATTTCTCGACCTGCAGCTTTTCGCAGCCAGCGGCTAGCCAACAATTGGTTGGTCATGGCACCTGTCCCGTCGGAGGAGGAAGCTTGGCTTTGCGCAAGCGGGCTGGGAGGGAGGGTGGAATTCCATGGGGTTCCTGAAATCTAGAAGAAACGCACCAAGGAATCCTCCATCTCCCCCCCCCCTCCCCGCCCCAGACCTGGGCCGCACTGCTAGCCTTGAAAGCTCGCCCGCCGTGCAGATGTTTGGGGTTGTGCCTGAGAAAAAGTGTTCGTGTGTGTGTGTGTCACAAGGGGGGGGGGGGGGGTGAGACAGGGGGGCCCCCAAGAATGGCTCCGGGTTTCCTTTGGTTTCCCTGTAAACGCCACCCTGAAAGGGGTGGTACCCTCCAAACATCAGACCCATGTGGGATGCAGTGGTTCCTTGAAGCAACGTGCTCTGCGATGTGGGAGTCAACCCAAAACGCAGAGTCTCGACTCTCGACGCATCGCGGCGGCGATGTGGCAAGGAGCTGACGGCCGAATATGGCAAGATGCTGGAGCAAATGCGGAAGACCTTCGACACCGGAAAGACCAGGAAGCTTCCCATTTGCTTAAGAACGTTTGCTATTTTTCCCCTGTTGGTTTTAAAGGGAACCTATCACTACTGGAATTCTTTTAGCTTCCCATTTTGCTTAAGGTGTTGTTTTCTTTTGATTTTCCCCTGTTGGTTTCAATTGGAATCAGCCATAACTGGAAATATATGATTTTCCATGGGGCGAAACGCCAATGGAAGGACGGGATGTCATCTCGTGGGCACTTTGCACCTTCCTGTCTGGGGCCGTGAAGGTTCCCCAGTTGGGTTTTTGGGGGGGATTGGAGGAGCCAGGCCCAGGGCTCCGGCAGAATCTTGCGCCAGAAATGCGATAGCAACCTTAGTAAACTCGCTGTTTGGGCCTGGTAGTATCCTGAGCCATTGCTCGCCTCACTTTTTGGGCCTGGCAATATCCTTAGCCAGTGGAAACCTCACTTGTTGGGCCTGGTGGTACCCTTAGTCACCGGCCGCCTCGCTTTTTGGGCAGAAACTAGGCCCCCCCCCGTAGTGCCCGTTCATTTGGTTCCCCTACTAAAGTAGACTGCAGAAAAAAAGTGGGTGCCCTTATTCTACCCTCTCTACTGTAGGAGTAGTTTCTGTTTTCCCCCCTTTCTTCTCGTTCAGCTTAGGGCGCCTTCGTGGAGGACCTAGGAAAGCTAAACCAGTCCGAGGTCTCCGCTTGGTTTCGGATTTCCGACAGGAGCCTGGCCTGGCGCAAGCAGCAGCTGCGCCAGCCGCCTGACCGGAGAGGGGAAGTGAAGGGACGCACAAAGAGGGGCGCTTGGCGCATTCCAAGAGCGCTTCTTGTTTGGAGGTTGTGTCGGAGCACCGGTGATGTTTTAAACCAACCCTGGTCTAGTTTTGACTTTGGGTGATTTGGGAGCTGATTTGGGATTGGTTTCGGAGAGCCCCCCAATAAAAAAGACGCAACCACGTAGCCACATGCCAAAGCAACTTTAGCAGCTGCACCCCTCCACTCCTAGTGATGCTGGAGAAAGTACAAAAACAAGCAGCAAAAATGAGATCTCAACTGTCGTGTCGTTTGCACCCGTGCCGCCAGGGTGATCAAGATGTACCAAGAGAACCACGACACTCTGCTCAAGTCTTTGCAACGCTTGTACGCTTGGTCCACCCGCGGAGTGAGTTCGCTCGGCAAGTATTTGCACAGTCTGTACATTTCGGCATCTGGGTAACTGTAATACCAAGTAGGCCATATTTGTTGATTCCCTCTTAAGGAAACCAACGGGGGATGGGCAACTGTTCATTTGCGCAGGCCCCCTTTTTTGCGCCCAAGTAAACATCCAAGAGAACCAGCGCTACATTGCCCATCATTGCTTTTCCAGGGTCTTCTCACGCGCTTGAGTGAAAGCTTCCTGCATGGGAATGTTAACGGGTCCGACCCTCTAGTGTACATCTTTTAGGTGGGGAATTCACATCCAGCAACCCCCGGTTTCCCTCTAAACAACCTAGTCCAACCGTTTTTTTTTTTTTTGTCGTGGTTTACACTAAATAGCATAGTCCAAGAACTTTTTACAGTGGTTTTCCCGTGAGCAACATGGATCTGGGTCAAAATTAAACCACCAGGGACCGCAGGTTTGAATATCCTTGAGTTCCATTTACCAGGGCAAGCCATGCTGGGGTTACCCTGTTTTTGACCGCCACATATTCCCAGGTCATTTTCGCAGTGCTTCCCACTAAATAGCGCAGTCCAACCACTTTCGTATGGTGGTTTTCCACAAAACAACTTAGTCCAACCGTTCTTTATCGTGGTTTCCCACTAAATAGCATAGTCCAACCACGTTTTCTGGTGGCTTCCCACAAAAAAAGAACCTACTCCAGGCCCAGCTCGGGTGGCTGGGGTGGTGTCTCAGGAGCTGATCAGCGAGACCATCGCTGCGGACATGGGGGGCTCCAAGATGCGCGGAGTCGCGGAGATCAGCGCCGCGAGCAGCGCCTCGGGGCGCCCTTGGGGGGCGGAGGGGCGGAGGCGATTTCTTCGGATTGGGCGCCGGTTGTGGTGACGTTTGGGGCCATTATGTTGACGATTTCTGGGGCCGCGACAAGCAAACTTCGAGTGCCTGCAAAACAGGCTGGAACAAAGCAATTAAGGTCGGCGCAAGCAAGCCGGGGTTTATCAAAGTCCGAAAACGCGGCTGTGTCCCTTTAACCGTTTAACCCACTAGGGGGTGACTTTGATTATGGTAAAGCAATGAGGCCAGGATTTGGTAACGGATTTTTTTGTTGAACCGAAGGACTGTTTGGTTTGTTGGTCTCACTCCTTTGGTGCGTTTTGCTTGGATATTAGGACGAAAACTTTTTGCCAACTAATGGGTTTTCCATCAAACCACTGAAAGTTCAACTTTTAGCAGGGGAGCAGAAAGCAATTGAGAACTCCCTGAGTGCATGGACGTTAGTTTTTTGAGTTTGGACCACTTTAGTGGGAAAACAAAGTTTGAACTTGTTTTGGCCAGTCTGCTCAGGTGGAAACAGGAAGCGGATTTGCCAACTTGAGCCACAAAAAGTGTCAACAGATACTCAATTGTCTTGCTGGTTCGATAGGCAGGGAATGAGACATGGAATGACCCCGAGATAGAAAAACAACAAATCCCATATAGATTCCGTTTCAGGGGATCCGCTTCCGGTTCATTCCAAAACGCGGAAGGTCATTCTCTACTGAGCACCAGCAAGTTGTTCAGAACCGACGTTTAGGCGAATTGCGTCCATTCTTATGGCCAAAAGGTTGACCTTCTATTTTTCCGGGTGCTTTGGGCATCTGAAAACGTAGGGAGGCAACACATTGACTTTCTAGCGGTTATATAGCGGTTTGCCCCGAAGCAAACATGACTACGTTTGGTCGTGAAGTAGCCCCAATTCCCATTGGAATGTGGGCTCTAGGGATTTCCTCGCTCAATGGAGCCAAATTTGGGAGGTTGCCTGTTTGGAGACAACCTGAGGGCATTCGGCCCCTTCATCCTGCTAGGGGTACCTTCCCCATTCTTTCCAGGGATCCTTCTTTCTAGAAAACCTCCGGAAACCCAGGGAAAATTGCTGACTTTTGAAAAGAACGATGGTGGGAAAGAATGGGGAATCAACCCCTAGAATCCTGGGTGAATCAATATCAATCCTTAGTCCTTATGCTAGACAGTTCTAGTTTCCCTCGTCATAGAGGAGTCCCAGTACGGATTTTTGGGAGATGCACCCCGTCTCTTCGAAGCATCGCTTTTGCGAAACCGAGGCGCTGACGATTGCCTGGCCAACATCGATGAGTGGACCAGCCGCCTTGTCACAGATTGGTTTCCCGTTTTGGCGGCGCGTTCTCACCCGAACGAAAAATGGAACCCGACACGTTATGGCGATTTGGCAACGGATCTTTGGACTTAACCTTTTGGGTTGAAACAGTGGACTTGTCATTTGACCCACAAACAGTAAACAACTTCTTGCAGAGGGGTCAACCGCAACTAGGAGAAAACCCTGCCATTTCTACAGGTGTGTTTTGTTCATGGAGCACCAACCAAGATTCTGCGTTGTGTTCCCCACTGGTTGACCCCACAGGGCCCTTTTTTGTGGCCCCTTTGGCCATAGGTTCATTTGGTGTTTCTCTTGTTGTATTGAGGTTGGTCTATGCTAGTGTGTTCGAACGGTGATCGATCACCTTGCTTCAGTGGTTGCAACTAGCGTTGCAACTGTCGCACGAGCAGCAGCCGACTTTGCCTGAGGAGAGAGATGGGTGGGCGGCCTTTTTGACAGGCGCGGGATTTTTGGCAGAGGTTTCGGCAAGGTACCCCTCCAGGGGAAGCCACCAAGTTGAAAGCATTGCCCAGGAGTTCCGAGAGCCTTCACTTCGTGAAGGGGACTACTGTATCACTTCAAGCTTGCGAACCCAGAAAAGTGGTGTTGAAGACGTCATTGCTTGTTATCCGGGGTACAACCCATCACATCACCTTTTGGAGAGGATTCTAGAATGCGCTTATGCAAGACACTCGTGTTTTTTCCTTTTGGAGAATGGCCGTTGTCCCACTATGACAATGGGAAGCTGATATGTTTCTGTCACATCTTCAATCAACATTTGGGCGATACGATGAGCTTCCTTTTGGAAATGTGATCCTCCCAGGTTGGGCATCAAAAGATGCACCACCCCAAAGGGTCCCAACTGTTTTTGGGCCCTCCAAATGGGTTGTTGTTGAGGGCCCTTGAGGGGTTCTCCATTGGAGGGTCCGGGGGTCTGCATTGAAGGGGTCATGAGTCATGACCCTTAAGACAGCACAAAATCCCGACAACCTGTTCGCGGGTCGATTCGGTTTGCCGTTGTATGTCGATGTGCTTCCGTACAGTCAACCTACCTCGCTGAAACGTTCTGACCAACGCATGAGTGAGCTTCCCCCTATTTTTGAGAGAAGCCTTAGGCTTCTCAAAACCAAATGCCAAAGACCTCTTTAATTATGCTTTTTCTGCCCATGGCTTGATCGCTGCGCCAGGCAGTACATCCGGCCTGAACCCAAGGGTGTGGTTCTGATCATCTCGCCTTGGAGCCTTGGCCATGCACGCGTTTAAAACGCGGAGGACCAGAAGCGGCTATGGCTCTAGGGGTTGATTCCCATTCTTTTTAACCAAGCAAACAGCTGTTTTCCCTGGGTTTCCGGAGGTTTTCTAGAAAGAAGGATCCTGGTGATTCCTTTTCCATTCTTTTCAATCATCGTTCTTTTCTCAAAAGCCGGATCTGTTTCCACCTGGGTTTTTGATGGTTTCCTGAAAAGACGGATCCCTGGAAAGATTGGGGAAGTGTCCCCTAGAATGGTGCGTTAAACACTGTGGGTTGAAGGATTTCTAAAAACGCGGACCTTCAAGAGGAGACACAGGCGGACCTGTCCATCAATATATTTGACTAGCCCTGGCCCAGCCCCCGCATTGCTTGGCTGAAAGTTGTGCTGCTGGCATGTTTGTTGCTTGAGGTTCGCAGTTGAAGTTTAACTGCCTAAACCCAGCAGCCCCCGAGCAGCCCGCCTCCTCCCGCTAATCAAAAATGGGTACACCGGAGAAACGTGTGTATTAGTAGGAAGTACCCATTCCAGGCTCGGGGAAAGGTCCAATGACTTTTTTGGGATCAAGTACTCCCCTCCCTTGGCCCACAAAACGTTTTTGGATGACTGTATGACCCCTGGAAACCATTCCCTTATGGTTTCCGAGTTTCGGATGTGTTCAAGCTTGGCTTGTCATTCAGTGTTGCTTCAAGATGCCGTTGATTACAAGTTAAATGTCATGTCCGTCGCTGTTTGGCATATTGTGGCACGTGCCGTGGCTCATCAACCAACAAATGCCGTCAGTCCAGGTAGTTCACAGCCCTCAATCATTCCACATGCTTTCAATGAATCCTTTCAAATCCTCCACAACTCAGCCCGTCCTCCCGGTGCTCCAAAATGCTCACCAGAACCCAAATGCTCTCCAAATACTCCCCAAATGCTTCCAAATGCTCCCCGAATGCTCTCAAATCCTTCCCATGCTTCCAATGAATGCTACCCAATGCTGTCAAGCGCTTTCTGATTTTCTCAAATGCTCCATCACAATATACGCTCTCCCGATCCTCCTTAAATGGCCCATGTGCCCCGGTTCCCCCAATTCTTCCCAGATTGTTTCCCAGCATGCTCCGAAGCGTCCCAAGTGCTCCCCGAATGCCCGCGCAGAACGCGGCAGAGGAAACTCGCTCAAATTCTGATGTTTGGGCAGTGTAAGCGGACGGTTCATTGGGGACTGGGACTGACTACGGATGGATGGATAGATAAAAAACAAACAAATTGCTGGGTCACACACTCAGCACAGCGCCACCACTAGACCACAGCATTTCCCCACCATGCCATTTTGAGGCATACAGAGCGATCAACTATCACATCCCCAGAAGGCCATCGTTAAGCCCAAGGAACTCATTGCATTTGAGGGGTATGATTTGGGGGGTGAAAGCCTCTATGATGCAAGGCTTTGGGCGTATGGAACTCATAAACTCATAGACCTGTGTGCTTTTCCACGCTCAGCCGAACAAGCGGCTCCGTTAGGAACGTGCCCTGGCAGCTGAGCATACGCCCACTTGCATCGGCGATTGCTGCTGGCAATGCAGCCGAATCTTGGCAAGGGTGAGTTGCGACAATGAAATGGGTACCAGCATTCATTTGGTTTTCCTTTTTGGGGCCACGTTTAAAACTCTAGCCCACAAACAGCACCGTGAAAAAACACATACCACTGTTTGTTTATGCCAGCCCCGATTGGCTGAATTGTTACGGGAAGCCGAACAGAGAGATGTGTTGGGTTTGAACCATGGCCTACCTTCCTGCAGATTATCCTGGCTTCGGCTTGTTTCAGGGGTAACGTGGCCCACTCTGCCCCATCACGCTTCTGCTCTTGAAAGCAGGGTGCTGCCCGCATTCTGGCGCTAGAAATCACGCCTCATGCCAGATGGCGGTTTTCTTGTTGTGCCGGTGGGCTCAGGGTCAGTTTTTCCACCATAGTTCTTCAAAGGTGAGTTTCCAGGTTCTCCTACCATAGGGGTAACAGAATCCAGCGGGAAAAAACAAGCAACTCATGTGAACAGCCCGTTGGGTAGCTAAAAGCTAAAGTTACATGGCTTCGCCCTTTTTTCTGGATGTTGCTCTAGAACAGCCGGGGTGACGCAGGTCCTAGTCCTTGTTTCCATCTGCCAAGATGAAGCTCATTTTAGGCACCTGAACTCTTAAACCTCCCAGATGCCCCAAAATGGGTTGTTGCCTAAAATGAGGGTTGGGTTGTTTGAGAGGTTCCTTGTTTCCATCTTCAAGCATTTTAGGCATCTGCCAAGACGGGTCCCCCAAACCTGGGTCTGCCTGGCCCATTTTTCTGGCTCAGGTCATCAAGCCCAGCGAGCTGAACCCCAAGAGCGCCCCACTCATGGCGGAGCTGGTGGCGAAATACCTCGACCCCGAGTGCGTCAGGCCGCTTCTTGGAGCTCCGCAAGGCTCTTCGTGGAGCTTTTTGGGGAAAAGGGGAAGCCCTCATGCGAGTGGCAGACCCAAAAGTTGGACTCCGTTTTTTGATTCTCTCTTTTTTTGGCAAATCCACTCTGAGCTTCCCAGCTTTGGTTGTTTCCAGACTCCTGGTTTTGCAACCCCAGCTGAAGTTTGGGAGCCCCAAATCCCCGCAGCTGCAGACGAGCTGAAGCTGTTGATTTTTGCGGCCCGATCGGGTTGCAGAATCTCCAGGCCTCCAGTTGGGATCGAGTGGATTGCCCAAACTCCAAAAGAATAACTCAAAAATAATGTAGGGGGTGTTGTTGTTTTGCCATCGTTTTTCGGACTTCAAAAAAAACATCTAAGAATTATTTAGGGGGTGGCTTTTTTTGCCATATTCTTTTCGGACTTCTTGAATAAATCTACCTTTGCGCAGCCAAATTTCGATCCAATGGGGCATTTGGATCGCTGCCCATCGGCCGATGGATTGGGGTGGCGGTTTTTCAGGAACTACTCCTGAGGTCAAAACAAACGTGCTTTTAACACCCACCTAGTTTTCATGGTGGTTTGAATCCAGTGATTTCTCCTCCAAATCCAAATGTTTAACTAACTTTGTTGAGCACGCTGGGCAAATTCTAGATTTGGAAGGGACAGATGAGCGCGCTGGGCGTCTTTGTTGTCTTCCGTTGCTTCGGGCTTTCCAGCAATGCCCTACCCATCCCCTGGAATTTCATGACTCTGCCTATTTTATGGCGGAACGCACCGCAAGGCAAAGCGAGCTCGCTATGTCGGTCCTTTCCTTCGGCATGCCTTCTGGAATTACAGAGAAAGGCAGATGAATAGCGTGAAGTGTTGCTTTCCCCTGTAGGGACGGAAGCACGGAAGCCTTCCAGCCCTCCTTCCCCTCGAGTCCCTTCAGGGTGGTGGAGGGGGCCATCACAGAGACCACGGCGCTATTGAACAACCGCTGGGACCACATCTTTTACACAGGCGCCTTTCCGGGACCGCTTGAAGCCAAGGCCAAACGAGGCTCGCCCCCTTTGCTTCCGAGGCCCTGGGTGCCGAGAATTTTTTGTCCGGAGTCTTTCGCTGAAGCCTTTGGAACCAAGCCCAAACCTGCAAGACACAAGCAAAGGGGCCCTCTGGGTGGAAGATTCAAGTACCCCAAAAGAAGGGTCAAGTACCCGGAGTGTTATGTTAGGGGGTCTTGCTGGAACCTATTTGGAGACAACCTTCCCTGAGTAGGGTCCACCCCGTTTTTGAATTGTTTGTGAGTGTTTTAGTGGCAAACAGCAAGTCTGAACTTCTTCTGGCCAGTCCAGTCAGGACTTGAGGTATGGTCAGATTCATCCGACGTTCACGTTCTGCACGTCAAGTGTGGGTCGCGCCGGCCACGCCGCAATCCAAGTTGACATCGATCTGAAGCTCACTTTGTCTCAATATGCAATGCCGGAAATGGATGATGACCCCATCCAAAGGGCAGCAGGGTGGAGAGGGAGCACAAGCATGGGAATTCGGTTCATGAATCCGTGCTCCACCTTTGTGAGACTACTTCACTGCTATTGGGTTGGATCTTTAGACTTTAACTTTGTGCGAAGTAAAGGTGTTTTCCACTAAACCCCCAAAAAGTTGCAGGGGGTCAACAGCAACCAAGACTATGGGCGAATAGGACTGAGGCCCACCCTTCAGGTAGGGCCATGTTTTGTCAGTGCAGGGCCGGTTTTGGAGCTCTACAAGTGGCAGTTCCATTGGAACCCGCCCGCTTGATCAACGGGGGGGACTCCAATGGGTTTGCAGATTGAAGCCAATCTTTGTTAAAGGCTGGCAAGGCCAATGGGACTCGAAGCGCTTTTGATCCCGCACAGGGGTCCCGGGAGGGGGGAAAAGGGGGGGGGGGGGCACATCCGGGGAACCACGTCCTACGGCAGGCAACGGCCAGGTGGGCCGCGTAGTGATGGCGGCGGCTTCGAAGCACTTGACACCGGTGACTTTGGAACTGGGGGGCAGCTGGGCGAACGCGGTGAGCTCTCGCGAGCTTTCCCGAACAAAAATTGCCACACCGAGTCGTGCGAAAACCAAGAGAAAACCAACATGGGGATGGTTGTTTTTTTTGGGGGGGGTAATTGTCCACCATAGAAATTCAACCAGTCTAAGCTGAATTGTCAGTCACTGTGCCTTCAAAAGTGATATAAGATGATTAAATACACCCACATATGTGTTTGGTTTTTGTTTGGGAACCGAAAGGAGGTGGATACAGTGTGTTGCCCCTATTTGGCGCCCAGGTAAGTCTCCCGTGATTGTGGACGAAACAGCTCAGGCTGGAAGCCGTTGCTGCGATCGGGGTCTGCCCTGTAACTAGTCTCAGCCGTTGTGTGGTCGTTAGCTCACTTCCTGAGTTCCTGCACTTTAGCAACGTTTTTAAATTTTGGGCTTGGACTATGTTGGCAGCAAGTCACAAGCTAAACAGATTTCGGCTCATCCACTCACGAAGCGACTATTGCACAATGTTGACCAGCGAACCATTGACTGGCAGTTCTCCCGTGGGGGGGTATGAGGTCTCTTAGTGACTTAGTGACTTAGTGACTTAGTGTCTCATGTGCTGCAAACATTGCAAATAACAGGTCAAAACACACATGGGGACTTGGCTAGCAGTTTTTGTTTCTTGTTCTTTTCTTTTTTCGACTCTCATTCTTCGGAGAACCTCAGGGTTTGGACCTCACGTGGGGGTTGGACTTTTCCACTTTTTGGGAAGATAGTTCTAGCGCCAAATTGGCAAAGAGCAAGATCCTAAATTGCGTGTGCCAGCCAAACAGTCCGACATCTTGTTCATTCGGATTGGAGATAGTTGCATCACTGGCTGGGGGGTAAAACATGTGTTTGAACGCTCTTTTAAAGAGGGGTTTCCCGAATTCAGGCGGGGGGGCAAAGGTTTTAGATTGAAAAGGGGGCAAGCAAGGCGACCACAGGGAAACCACAGAATTTGAGGAAGCAAAGAGAACCTCCCGGGTTTTGCTGTGACGCTGCACCAAAACTTTCTGTGCGGCACCTTATTTGGAACCGCCATGAGTTGCTGATGTGCTTCGTGGTTGCTTGGCGTGGTGGAAGAAAGTTCAACAGGCTGCCTTGAGAGAGAATGCAACACCTTCGCGCAAACACACCACACTCCTGTCAGCAACAAATGCCCTCCTTCATTCCCCGTCCTCCCACGAAAATGGCACTTGCGGCAGGGTTCCCTCTCAAACATGGCTGTTGTTGGGCAACATTTTAATTACATTTCTGCTTATGGTGGTTTAGTGGGAAATCCCCGCTTAACTGCTAAAATTTCATTTCTGTTGCTCCCCTTCCAATGTCAACCAAGTAAAGGTGCCGCCCCGGGCGCCGTGTTAGAGAGGGTGCCCCACAGCCCCAGCATCCCCCCGGCCTCGACACGTGAGATCGACGTGACGGTGCGGCGCCTGGCGCTCGTCAAGTGGATGCTCACCGGGCAGATCTGCGTGGCGCCGGAGATTCGGATCGAATCGAATGGAGGGAACCGGCGCATCAAGTGGGCAATCCCAGCCATACATGGCCAAAAGCGGACGACTTTTCCGGACTCGAAAGATTACCCGCATGAGGATACTTTGAAAGGAAAATCCCTGAAAAGCGGACCCTGGTACGAATTAAGAGTTACAAATCATAGACAAGGGCCAGGGCGACTTAGAGCGCTTTGCAACCAGATGCGATGCCATCTACATGTTCATGGTGGGGGATGGTCCTGTGGCTGGTTGTGGCCACGTCAAGGCCACCAGAGTGATGCCCTCTAAGTGCCCAGACCTGGTTTGGAAAAAGCGGCAAAGCCGCCAGCATGCAGGCTATGGCAATCCGAGGGGCCATGGTGCGCGCGCGAGTGACCATTCCAACGCAACCAAAGTTGCTCAAGCAGATCCCAAGAGGAAGAGGACAGGGCTTGGACGGGGCGGAGGTCTTGGACAAGATGACGTTGATGGCTTCCTTCGCAGGCTGGACTACGCGGACTTCGCCCTTCGTCTTAACTTCCAGCACCGCTTGAACAAGTCTCTGTCTGAAGTTCCTCAATCACGCAGGCGGACGGGGGCTGCTCTTTCCTGCCTCTAAACGCCATGAAGATCAGGGCGGCTCTCTTGCGTGTCTGTCCCAGTAGTCCCTGGCCTTGGCTGCCTCGGCGAAGACGGACTCATAGGGGATTGAAGGAGGGGGCGAGCCCATGCAGGCGCATCTGGTGCAGCTTGCGCTTTAGATGCCTGAAGTGCTCTGCTCGGCATCGGCCCGCTGCGACAAAATAATTGTTATGCATCCGCCGGGTAGAGGGAGACCAGTTCCCTGAACACCTCCCAGTGCTTGTCGAGCGCTGACAGCGAAGCTACACCTTTGGCCGTCCCTCTCACGTCTCAAACACCCGCCTTGAATTGGGCTTTGACGCTTTTTCCTAGGCAATGAACCTTTTGACCCTGCCTTCATGCTGGTCAACAAGCTCCTGGCAGCGCGACTCAGTGTCCACGTGTGAAAGACATTCTTCAAAGCTTGACTTGGTCCAGCTGCAGCTGAACTCCCTTCCTGAAAATCACTGCGAAAGGATCGTCAAGCTCCCACATCCGCTCAGCTTTTAGGCTCACCCACACATGGGCCATCCGAGTTGCCCCACTTCCCGCGACTATGTCGCACAGGAGGCCCTTCAAGACGACAAGGACAAAGCTCAAGGCCTCCCCCAAGGTGAGACAGGCTCACCCCGATGGTGGCCAAGGGCGAGGGTTAACCTCCACCTTTTCCAGGTCCAGGCAGCCCGCTGTTCCGTTGCCAGCAGATCAGCTCCTTCTGCATGACATCCTCACCAAGGCATGCCAACGGCGGTAGCGCCGCCCTCCCACTTTCTTCGTCTCACGTGAGCCCCCACTGCCTCGATCTCGTACGTCGCCTCCACAATGTTTGGTGTGTGTGGTGCGTCGCCATGCCCTTCACGCAGCATCCACAGCACACGGAAAGCTCCCACTGCTCCCACATTTCTTCTTGCTCAGGCTGTTCTGGGCCTTTGGCCTGGCTGCTTTGTTTCGTTGCCTGGCGCTGCTGGACCATGACCTGCCCGGGCCCCCCTCGTTGCGGCCATCTTCGTCCCCGTCTCCTGGGCTGTGTCCCTCTTCCTCTCTGTGTTGGAGGCGTTTCCTTGTTGTTTGCCACGTCGGGGTCTCGTTGGCCTTGCACGGGGTCGGAGAGCGCTTTGCGCTTGGAGGCGCGAAAAGTTTGAGAGAGCCGTGAGCGGTGCACAGGCTGACGCCATACACACCTTCCACCGTCAGAGTAAAAAGGCAGACGTGGGCGGCTGTGGCTGTGTCACAGTCATGTCCCTATTGGGTGGCTGGGCGGGAGCACGTGAACTCTGACCGGCAGAGGTGTTATGCTTCATAAACCCCAGGTCGTTGGTTGGGCAATTCAATAGCTTTGTGATCCGAACGTGTGGGATCAGCAGAGCTTTTGGCAAGGACTACATCTTGGTGCACCGCAGCGTGGAAAAGCAATTCCTGGAGAAACTGAAGGCACAAGTTCAAGCCTCCTATGGGCAAGATGGCAAAGAAGGAGGTCGGGTTCGGGAAAACCTTTTTTTTTTTTTTTCTACTTTAGAGCAATTAGGAAGCTGCCAATCCTGAGGTGCCGGCCCCGAAGATTCACCGTCCTCGCAAAACCCCGTCCTCATGTAATGTTGTTGCGCAGATCATTTCTCAGGATCCTTTCTGGGGTGGAAGACTCATCACCACCGGCTGATTTGGAGGATCCGCTTGTAAAGCAAGTGGTTTTCGGATGTGTGCTTTGCAAAATCCCTGTCAATTCTTGCCTGTTGCTTTTCGGGGTGGCTGCTCCCAAGCCCCGAGTCACGTGTCACGTAGGAGATGACTATGGCAAGATCGTGAACGAGCGTCACGTGGATCGCCTAGAGAACTTGGTCAAAACAGCTGGCGGAACCGTCGTATGTGGCGGGACGCAGGCGGGCAGACACTTGAAACACAGGTTTTCCCAGCTCATTTAGAGGATCCGAAACTTTGTAAACCAGATTTATGTTCGATGCATCCTTTAAAGAACCTTCTTTTTGTTGTGTCCAAACAAAATGTGGTCAAAGGGGAATCCTGGGCCTCTCAACATCATGTTGCATTTTAAGACGGACACGGCCAGAACCTGACATTGTCATTTCAAGTTCGGGGCCCAGCGGTAGAAGTATTAGCAAGCTGGATTATCCAAGCTCAGCTTCCAGAGGGGGTCCCCATCCGCCCAACTTGGGCAGGGCATCGACCGGGAGAAGCGCTTCGTCCCTCCGACGGTCATTTCCGAGCCAAAGCTAGATGCACCCATCATGCAGGAGGAAATCTTCGGGCCCATTCTGCCAGTGCTTGCGTATGACGACTTCGAGCCACCCAGCATTCCTCGCCTTCCATTTCCAGAAGAAAAAACAAGTTTTTGAGTTGTTCTTCGAAACATGGCCAAGCAGGAAACCCGAATTGAATGGTGGTTTGGATTGTTGTTGTTTTTTTTTCTGTGAGATTTTAAGGGGATGGATTTTGCTGGACAGTTGTTCTTCGATCTTTTTTCAGGGGCGGAAAAGACAAGAAACCATATGGAAGGAGCTGGTATTTTTGTTTTGGATGGATTTCACACATATTTGCTCCCTTTATATTTTTGTCCAGCCAAGCAAATGGGATGAAGCTGTCTCCAGCATTTGTGTCCTTTTTAGGTTAGCTTGACAAAAAAATGGGTTCCACTGGTTTCGATGGGTTCTACGCCCCATTTGCCAGGGCCATCTATGGTCTCCAGTCAGGTCAGCCCTGAAGATGGTCCGCGAGAAGGAGCCGCCCTTGGCCTTTTACATCTTTTCCCAGAGCTCCCGTGGCCTGGTCGGAGCTGCGACATGTGGAGCTTCCATTGGCTGAAATGTTTTGTGGTTGAATTTTAAACCTTGTTGGTTCTCAAGGGAGTCATATTTGGCCAGAATGGGGACCAAACCTAAGGAACGGGTACAACACGGCCCTGGCCGCTGGGATTCGTCGTTCTGTTTTTTTTTGTTTAGCCGGACTCTCGGACTATCCTAAGTCAAATCGCTTGATGGGATGGCCTCAAGTTTCTGGGTGTGTTTCATGAGCAACTCTTCCATTGCGGATGCTTCCTTTCAGGCAGTACAAAGGCAGGGAAAGCAGCTTTTAGTTGGCAACGAACCTTGTTCTTGATGAGAATGGCTGTGGGTCAAAACCCATGGTACCATTTTGGGGTAGGTGCACCACCCATTTTGGTCTAGTTTAGCGGGGATTGGGATGTTCACTGGGGGTACGGGATTTTGACCCATGGCCAATGAGGATGTGCTTTTGCCCTTCTTATCATGTTTTTTGGTTTGGAACCCCGCCAAGCAAGAGTAAAATGGATGGAAGTCACCGAAATGCCGAATGGGGGGCCGCGTTCGTTGCCAGGTTGGGTTTGTTTTCATGTTCGCTTTCGATCAACATATTGGCATTCTGCCACTTCTAGCGACCAATTGCATGCGCCCCCGCATAATTGCTCCCGTACCTTCATTCATTGCAGGTGTGAGCCCGGACCTGTCCGGCCTCATACGTGGCTCTCGACCTAAAAAAATCAACCTCACTCGAGTCCGGCCTCATACCTGGCTCGCCGGAAAAAAAAGTTCGCGCAAGGCAACGTGGAAAAAGCCCTGAGCTATATCCAGAGCGGCGGGGTCTGTGTGAACACCGCCTTCGAGCATCTCCTGCCGGAGACTTTGCCCTTCGGTGCCGCGGCGCTTGGTTGGCTTCTCCTCGGGCGGCTGATGCTGGGTGCTTTGTATGCTTCTTAGGTTTGGTTAAACCCATGCTAGTGGCACACAAAAGCAAAGAGTGTGGTTTGTTTGCAAATTGGGGTTGGTTGCCATTCTGCCGGCAAACAAGCAGTCTGGCAAACAAGCAGTCTGTTTTTAAGTCAAATCTGCGCAAGGAGTGAGCTACTTGTTTGTTGTCGGTACGTACCTGGCCCTGAAAAAGGTCATGTGCAGGCCCACCTCCCCACCAAACAAAGCCACCTCAATGTACAGGGCAAGTGGAGGCTGGACTTGAGTGACCGTACCCATCTCCACAGTAAAGCAGTGGTCCTTTGAAGGTCACTCTTTTGGCGGATCAGAGGGGTGCCGCTCGCTGATAGGAAGATCCAACCACCAGAAAGGCACACCTTGGAAGTTGGTCGACGAACCCGGGTTGACGTAGAGGGCCTATTCCTGGTGAGAGACCGCTTTGTGGAACCGGAATGTAGGCTTGGGAAATGAAAGTTATTGTTTTTCTCCAGGGAAGCCAGAGGGTGGTGTCTCTTTGGTTTGAATTGAACACAACCAGGCGCCCTTCAAACTATTAGCAGTGGCCGACACGACCCCCCCCCCTTTTTTTGGGGCCGGAGCGAGAGGTTGGAAAATCTTGGGACATCCGAGGCGAATCATTGAGGCGATGTGCAAATTATTCAAGCACGGCCATCCCTCTTCCCTCATTATATACACGTGGCCGAACAATTGCTACTAATTTGCTATGACTGATTTGCAAAAGCCCCATTGTATTTGTATTTTTGATGGTACTCTTTTTGAAGGGAAATAACAAAAAACACACTTTAGGGTCCCCTAAAAAAGACACGCCCATTTGCCTATCTATGCGCTTGGGCCAGGAAGAAAGCACACGGCCTTGTTGCTTTTCCCGCTTGAGCTTGTGCTTGCAGGTGGCCAGGGTGCGTCTGGAATGGGCGCCTATCACGGGAAGTTCGGCTTCGATGAGTTCAGCCATCGGCGAGCCATCTTTGTCAAGCCTGGCTCACAGATTCTCAGAGACTCAGAGAGAGCTCCCCGAGTCCCTGGTTGCGTGACACTCGGGTGAGCATCTTGAATCTCAGTGGCAAACCGAGACTTTGGACTTTTGTTTGCCAATCCACTCATTCGGTCTTCGGAGAAAGCGATAGAGAGAGAGAGAGAGTCCGTCAAAGCATGAAATCGGTGCCATTCATCCATACCGAACGGTTCCGAGGGTCGCTTGGGTTCAGAATCCAGGTTCCGAGCTGGGGCGAACTCCAAGTGCTTGAAGCGGTTGAACTCTTCGGGGTCAGGGCCCAGTTTGCACACAATGCAAATGGCTCAAGAGGTGGAAGGCATCAGATCACCTAGCGGAACATCAGGGGTGCTTATGTGTTAGCGCTGTATAATCTTCAACATGTACCCCTTTGACGTGAAAAAGATGTGAAAAAACCGTCGAAGAGCTGAGGGAGGCTGCCTGTGTTTTGGGCTAATTGACCTTGGTGTGATATCCCCTTGGGAACAGGAAGTGGTGTCCCAAGAAGTACATGGTTCTATCTGGAATCCCTTTTAATATCATGGTGCGACTAAATGTGGACCCAAAAGCTGAAAGTGCCGTTTTTGTTGAAGGCAAAGGCTGGTGCAGTCTATAGATACCCATGGCACAGACCCGATGTTGACCCGGATTTTGCCCGACCTGATTCGTCGTTCCAACCAAACGCACGCCGTCCTCGGGCCCACCCACTCCCGCTTCACCCCACCATTTTCCCCACGTAGCCGCTAAGTGGAAAAATCGCTGATCCCAAGACTGGTTTAGCAGAACCCATCGAAAAACCGCAGAGAGTGAGTGTAACCCCGGGCCTTGGCCCGACGCCGACCCGAACAGGTCGACGTTGCCGGGCAAGCGTGGCACCCTGATACCGCTACCGGAGGCGCGTGGCCATGGCGGGTTTTCTCGCCGTTGACGAAGGGGTCGGTGATTCCGACCTGGATCCAGGATCCAACAGTTTCACCACTTCGGATTCGAGCTTTCCCGAATCATGGTGTGATGCATAGTTGTTTTCTCTTTTTCTCCTGGGAACTGGGAAGCACGGGGGTTCGATTGTGACCGAAACGGTGGTGGGAAAATCTGGGTCAAGCGCCGCTCAGCCGAGGAATTTGCCCTGCACTCTCGGGGCGAGAGAGGCGGTTTTCCATTTGCTTAAGTTGTTTTTCCCTGTTGGTTTTCAAGGAAACCTGTCACAAATCACTACTGAGTCATTACCGGAGCTGTGTTTTTGTTCCAGGGGACTTCAGGAAATGGAGGACTTGGTTTTTGCTTCAAAGCCACCGAAGGGTACCATCAACAAGGGCGCACTCATTTCCCCCTTGCCTGGTTTCAAACATGACCTGCTATACAGATTTTGGATGTGTTCCTTTGGCTGGGTGGGAATGCTTGAAGGCATGACAGCGCATTTTCCGTCTCAACATGAGGGGGCCCTCCGAAGGTTGGTTGCTTTCTGGAAGAAGGTCGGTGACCTGTTCCCATGTTAAAACAAATAAATAAAAAAACATTAATATGTTTATTATTGTTAGGTGTTGTTTCCGCCTTTCTCAACATCGCTTCCCAACTAAGCAATCGTTCCTATAGTGCATGTCGGAAAAGGTCGGGCGGGATTTGCAGGCGCCATGGTGAGAAAGAATTGACTCTACTTCAAAGGGACCGTCGTGTTGGGCGCGAGAGCATTTGAGGCAGCATTGGGTTTCCCCTTCGGGTGGTGAGCAGGCATCACCTCTTGGGCGATGTCCGGGCGTCACGCCTGAGATGCCACGGCTGGGCTGTTCAAAGGGTCCTCTCAAAAAGTATGCCATATTCTGGGGTAGGCTCAGTATAGAACAGAGTCAGAGCATATCATTCTGCGTGTACCTTAGGCGTGGGCCAAGCTCTGCAAGGGGGTCCCCTTTGGAGTGGTTTACCTCTCAGGATTAAGGATTTGGACTTGTTAACCTTCCACTTCGAGCAGTGCATTTGAATCAATGTTAACCCTGCTCCAAAGGCTGCCCGCCACTTAAGTAGGTCACTTGCAGCGGTTGGATTTCTTGCTTCCAGTGGGACCTCATGTTTAAGCAGGGGTCAACATTGCAGCCCCGCACCACCTTCATCCCCTTTGGGTGGTGCCTCGGTTGTGCACGCGAGAATCTGGCTCGGTTGTGCACGCGAGGCCCGGCTCAGTTGTGCACGCAGACTGGTTTACCTTGGAATCAGCTATTTAGACTGACGTCATGGAGTCTCGGACAAAGTGTAGCTTGCGCCCCCTTCGTTTTGGGTTTCTTTCAGAGCGCGCCCCATCCCCCAGCAGAGCGCAGTTCAAGGCTGCGATGGCGGGGGATGGGGCGACGTTGTGGCAACAGGAGGAAAGGATCAAAGTGTAGCTTGCGGCCCCTTTGTTTTGGGTTTCTTTCAGATCAGCCATGCCCAAAACCAAGGCTGGGAAATTCGGCGCCCCTGGAAAGTGCTTACCCAAATTAAGGGCCAGACTAAAGCTTTGTCAAAGTATACGGTCGGCGCCTTGTGTGAGCCTGAGGCAAATGATCTTACACTAGGGAGATAAAGCAAGTTGACAGGGGAGTTGGGGCCACGCTTGCGAGGGAAGCCCAGGCTGCTGCATTAGTGCACTTTTGGTACGAAAGCCGCGCCCCTGGCCCAAGATCGGCTCCGCGAAATGCCAGTCCACCCGACACATGCCTCCTATGCTCTTGCTGCGGAGTGCGTGGCTTGTATAATTTTGCTCAGGCTCTCCGGTGTAAGCTCTCACCAGCATCGTGATCTCTGTCCATGGTTCTGGATGAATGTCTTGGTGCTGGACAGGATGAGCTTCCAAATGATTGGAGCTGCCTTTGCAGGGCCCACGCAGGTTGTCCCGGATGTGACCAAACTGGTGGCGCACCATGCTCATCTGAAGTCTTCTTGGGCTCGCCGATGGCAGGAGCTGCTGTCTTCACAGCGGCCTCCTTCCAATGAACTTGTGGCAGCAGTCCAGGCCTTGAGCCTACGACTGCGGGTGCTTGCAACTGAGACACAAGGATCACACGCAGCGCCTGCGCAAGCCAACGTGGCGAGCTGCACATGCCCTCCTGGCACTCCTGGCGCTCCTGGCCCGGAGCGTCCCTCGGAATCTTCGTCTCCATTAACTATCCGAAGTGGCCGATTAGAGCTGCAGCAGTGGACGCCTGAAAGCATCTACTCTGACACCGCGTCCATTGAATGGTGAGCTTGTGGGTTAAAAAGCATGCGAGCAGCAGTTGTCGGCAGGGTTTCTTGCGCAAGTACCCCCCCCCCCAACTCCCGCCCCCCCCCCCCACACCCCACCACCCCCACCTCCCTATGTTGGCTGGCTTGGGAGTGCTCCACCTGGTGTTGGCGCCTCTTGATGGCATGGCTCGAAGGTCAGCATCAAATATTGACTGCCGCATGGTGGGGTGGTTTGGAAGTGACCCCCAGAAAATTTTGTCTGCGACCCCTGTAAGCGGTTCCTCTACGGAGTACCCCGGACCGGATGTTTCCTGCAAACGGGGGAGCGTTCCACGGCCATGGCGCAACTCATGCATACCCCGGGGAAACATCAAAAACAGAACGGGGCTAGGGGTCCAGACTGGTGTACAATATGTGTGTTTACACCTATTGAATGTCTAGTATGTAAAAAGATGTATGTTTTGTTGTTGTCTTACTAGGACGACGACTACTGGTATATAACTACAACAACAACTACTACTATTACTACTACCGCTACTCCTACTACAACAACAAGTACTAGTACTGTTATCAGAACTACTACTTGTACTACTAGTACTACTACTACTATTACTACTACTACTAGTACTACTACTACTACTACTACCACTACTACTACTACTACTACTACTACTACTACTACTACTACTACTAGTATTACTACTCCTACTACTATCACTAGAACTACTACTACTACTATGCTTTTATCAGCACTGGTACTAGGAATGCTGCTACTATCTTAAATTCAATCTGAGACCCCTGTAAGCGGTTCCTCTACGGAGTACCCCGGACCGGATGTTTCCTGCAAACGGGGGAGCGTTCCACGGCCATGGCGCAACTCATGCACACCCCGGGGAAACATCAAAAACAGAACGGGGCTAGGGGTCCAGACTGGTGTACAATATGTGTGTTTACACCTATTGAATGTCTAGTATGTAAAAAGATGTATCTTTCGTTGTTGTCTTACTAGGACGACGACTACTACTATATAACTACAACAACTACTACTATTACTACTACCGCTACTCCTACTACAACAACAAGTACTAGTACTGTTATCAGAATTACTACTTGTACTACTAGTACTACTACTACTATTACTACTCCTACTACTATCGCTAGAACTACTACTACTATGCTGTTATCAGCACTGGTACTAGGAATGCTGCCGCTGCCTGAAATTTAGTCTGAGACTCCTGTAAGCGGTTCCTCTACGGAGTACCCCGGACCGGATGTTTCTCGCAAACGGGGGAGCGTTCCACGGCCATAGCGCAACTCATGCATACCCCGGGGAAACATCAAAAACAGAACGGGGCTTGGGGTCCAGCTGGCGTGCACATTGTTTTTGAGAATCCGCAGTGTCCACAGGTTCAATGAAGCGGCCTGCTAATAGGCAGGCTTGTAAACGTCCAGCCGCTAATGAAGCTCCGCAGCTGACACTGCAGCGTGAGGAGACTCATGACCCCGACGTGACTTGGGATCTCGCTCAGATAAAGGAAAAGGTGTTAGCGTGGGTGGACGTCAAAGTGGCATTCAGTAATAACTCCCGCGAAGGAGGACCGATTCATCTTCGGTTCACTTGCCGTGAGTGTGCCGGTTGTGACTGGCGTGGTGTTGCGTGCTACAAGTCACCGACCTTACAGATTCGAATGACAGCTGATGAACATCATCGAGGACGTGGCCGGATTCTTGCTTGCATATGTTGAGTTTGTGTTGAGCCTTGTTTTTTCGCTTCTGCAGGTCTCACTGACAGTGGCATGGGCTAGGCCGTTGTTGTATCTTGATATATGTGTCTGTGTCTATATATATATATATATATGTATAGAAAGATATATATATATATATATAGATATATACCCAAATTACCAATGTTAGTAGACTTCGTTTTCCATTTCTGCGGCTATAAGCAGATGTTTTTGAAAACGTATATTTATATCGTCGTGACGATAGATGTAACATCCTCAGTTGTCTGATTTTGAGCATGACCTCAGTGCGTAACCCTTCTCTTTGTGTTTTTTTTTGCACAGTTCAGCTTCCTCTGTTGCTTAAGGCTGTACGGATCGTGCGAGAGCGGTTTGACGGAGAGATCAAAGCATTTCATAGAGAATCTGCTGATCGAGAAGAAATCTTTGCGGATAGAGCAGATTTTGCAGGACGGGCGAAATAAGTTGGCTGAGATCAGGGTTGTTTCGCAGTGGTTTCAGGGGCCGTGACATTTGTATGAAGTCTGGCTTGACATGTTTGTCACTTTTCGTTGCAGCTGGCTCAAGCCATGCTCCTGGATCACACGTGCCAGCAATCCATTTGCAACCTGCTTGTGCTTCGCACAGCTGGTGTTCCATGTTTCCATAGAGATCTGCAGCCTTTGTATCAGTGCCGTGCCCAGTACTTATTTGATTTGTTGCACCTGGCAATCGAAAGTGAGGCTGACGCCTTGGTGAAAGATGTGCTGTCAGCTGTTGTGAGCAAAGACTGGTGGCCCAGGAGGCTGTATGTGTTGAAAAATTTACATGGCCTTGTGAAGCAAACACTGGAAGGCTCCCTTGCATATGGATCGGCCAATGGTGCGCTTGGACCAGCGCTCATTTCGTGTTTGCTGTATCTTTCGAAAAGGATAAGCGGATCCACGGGTCGAAACTTCTACGACTGGGTTTATCTGGG